AATTCTAGTATTTTTTTCCCCTTTTTCTATTTATTCACATAATTTTCACTCTAGTCTCTGTCATATTTCTTTTGATGCCTTTGGGAGAAATCTGTTTTGTTCCATAAAAAAACTACATGCAAATAACCAGTAAATTATTCGCTGATAACACCTGACCTTGTTATTGCAGCTCGATAGCTGTCAAATCCCAACTAACCATGACTTTTTATCATAAAATGAGTATAATGGACATATCCGCCTAGACAAAAAGAATGAACTACTGCGTGAACAAGATATTAGTTCGCCATACAACAATTTACAGACATAAGATTTGATATGCTTCCATAGAGCAAACAATTATAAGGAATTACCGCGTACAAAGTTATACTACTTTCTAGCTGCAAGTAGTATCAGCTTGATAACGCCACTCATTCCAACTGGAATTTCACATCAATTGTATTCGAGAACAGTACATTTCATATTTTAATATGAACAAATTATAAGGGCGAATGTACTTAGATATGAGTATTAAGACTAAATACATATAATGAGTTATTTATGAAGTAAGAAAATTAAATCTTGCCAGTAAATGAACAAACAAGCTTATGAGAGTTGCAAAACACGTTTTATCAATTGACTATAATCCTATAACAAGTTCAGATCTGCCTTATTCGGCAACAGAACTACAACCACAATCCATCTGTTACACTTTGAGGAGTGCAACCATTGAATAATCTATACCAACTAGTAAAAAACCAAATAACGCTAGATACAATCGTAACTAAAGCTTGCACCGTGTGCAACCCAGTAATCATGAATACTGATGTTTGGGACTTCAATTAACGCCTTATGACAGTCTGTTGATAAGAAACCAATTAATTAGTCAAATTGTAAAATTTGCGGTTTCGTTAAAGGTCATAATTAATCTATGTTTGATGGAGAATTACACATATATCTATTTTTTTGCGACTGATAAAATACTAGAAACATAGAATGATAGCGGTTTAAATCTGTATATCAATTGTTTAAAAACTTGGATCTACACCAACCGATTTTTGCAGCACACATCTAAATCAACAGAAAATTCGAACTGTTAAAAGATGAACATTACAGAGTGGTTAGGTGGTGATAAGACTTGTTTTCGTTAAACGTTCATATAAAAATGATAGCTAAAATTGTACACTGTTCATGTGAGGAAATGCTTTACTGAGTCCCAATTGTGGGTCATTGCGAAACAACTGGATCCAACTTTTATCTCCCACCTTAAATCATTAGTCCTATTATTTCTTATTTCGAATTATATTTTTTATGCTTAGTCTTTCTTACTATCATTCGTACTACCACTTTTCCAATGGTTTTACTGTGTTGATATGGTCAACTTGATCTAGACTTATCCCATGCTCCACATTGATAATATTTGCTTGATTAGACATGAGTTCTTATTTAATCATAGATAGTCAATACTATGTGAACTGAAAACGAGCCAATACATTACTCTATAAATGTTTTTAACTATGATGATGTTCGATAAGTCGATTTCATTCCAAAAGCAATTACTACGTGAGTGCTATCATAATATGATAGTATTCGACAAGTCTTCGTTACAAAGAAAGAATATGTTAACCATATAATAATAGCATAAATCTAGTGACTAAATAGTTCTTTTGATTTTGATAGTTATTAGGACAGTTCTAGAGACTTCACAGCAATTCAACATATCTTGTATACTCTTAAATAGAAACCGTATGCTTATAATAAGTGACGGAATAAGATTATTTTGGCATTAAATGAGCATTCAGTCCCACTTTGTATGGAGTACGTAACCAAAAACTTTTAACAATCCAAAGCTATGATAAAATGAACTTGCATCCAATTATGCCAAACTGTTGACTTTTAATTAGAATCGAACTGTTCATGACCAATTAACGGTTGCACATGACACTGTTCAAGATAGTCATAATTATATTCCTTAATTCCAAGCGTTCAGACGAACTCGAAGCCATCATTCGGGTATCTATAAAATTCAACTCTAAACTCAAATTTTAAGTAATACTGTGACATTCAACGGCTAATGTGAGCAAAAAGATATCTTATGATGATTACAATTAAATAATTCCTATTTGAATTATCGATTCGGTAGGTAACAGGTAAAAACCTCTCTTGAATTGACTTTATTTATCCAATGGGTTTATTTCGTCATTTGAAGATTGGAAAAAATACAAATCAAGAAAAGCGTACACAATATTACTTATTATTGAATAGTGCATTGCTGGTAGTACAGTTATTAAAATGAGAATGTAACGAGAAGAGGATATCCTTAACTGTACAAGACCAAGATTTACTGACTGAAAACGATTCTGAACAACCTTCATAACCACCGTTAACATTTCGTATTAAATTACACCAATCGCCCGCCATATCATTGCGAAATTGGTAATTAACACAAAACTGGTCATTCATATGTAATTCAAACAGACTTGAAACCAGACAATCTGACATTGTAGGTGCCACTTCCTTTGGTGTGCATTGTTTACCACAAACTTCACTCAAACACGTAACATCTCGATCAGCTAAACCACAAGGAACGATTTGTCTTAGCCATGAAAGTGGTTCAGTTGTACAGTTTAGAGCTATCCCATGATACGTTATTGAACTGCTCTGGCGGATACCTAACTAAAAATAAATTATTAACTGAGAAAACAACAAATAACTTGCGACATTCTAATAATATACAAAAAGCTCAACCCACAAAACACAATATCCACTTAATAGGTCGACTAATGGGAAACTGATGTACAACCATTTGCACACATAAATAAATAAAGTGAAGCATAAAAACGTGTATATCTATACCACAAACTCGAATCACTTTAATATAATTTGGGACAAGCAACTTGACTATTCCAAAAGTTTTACACAGTAAACTCACTTTTTACAAATTAAACTTTTTGAAACTTAGCAATCAAAAACAAATCTTACTTTGATTCGCTATGAAAATTAAACAATTTATAATCTTAAAGAGATCAACAACGAAGATTGGTGCAGAATAACATGAATTCATTTTATTTCTTTAGTTTCTCATCGGCTACTTGCAACCTATAATATTTGAAAATCAACGTTATTACAGATATTTACATACTTATACATAAGAGAGATTAAAAATGAATATACATATATATATCATGATGTAGTGAAGATCTCAAGAGTGAATAAGGTCATAAAAAATTTGTTTTGGATAAGTAAAGTTTGAGAGGGAAAGTTCCAAAACATTGAAACAGTGATTAGAACTCATGGAGTTAACAAACATTATATGATTGTGTAATTAAGCAACTGAAAATAGATTAATTGTAATAAAAAAGATATAAATTGAAATCAGTCAATTATGAATTGAAGAAAAACGACAATGATGTAATTAAACTTGAATGATGTAATGAATGACGTAATGATTAAGAAGGGGTGTGATGTTACCAGGGCAAATAAAGATATATTACTGCCTCTTTTTGGGTACATAGATCTGGTTTTAGACGTTTGATTGCTATCGCATCGGCGAGTTTCAAAAGGTTCGAGTTTGATTGTTTGTTAATCACCTTGAAGGAGTTCAGTGTATCGACTTCATGTCCTGTGTCAAGATGTCTTGTAACGGCACTGCTGAATGCTTTCAATCCATTTGATCTTGAACTTTTCGGAATATGTCCTTTGAATTGGATGCAGGCTCTCCTTTCTGTTCTACCAATGAAACTGCTTTGGCAGATACATGTAAATTTGTATACACAGTTGGTGGTAAGATGAAAGGGATACCTATCGACCTTTAATTGTTTCAAAGAACATGTGGGTGGAAGTGGTCAGAGGAAAGTGAGATTAGTTTTATAGGGTGTAAGCTTACCTAAAACCCAAGAAACGTATGATGCTTTCAGTTAGAAAAGATAAATTTAACGATACTTATTAACAGGATCATTTACTGCGGACAACATCATCAGAATCAAGCTATATTTCTCAAACAACAACAAATTGTCGCTGCTCATGTTTGGAGCTTAACTCTGATTATGTAAATGTGTTTATTCTACAAGACATCAATTAACGTCTGGGATTAAAATCTATGCTGTGGAATGCTGTAAAAGCGGATAGTCAAATCTGTTTACAGATGTAACAGGTAGATTTTAGAAACAGCCAGAGAATTTCTAGGAAGCACAATGTTTATGTCGATATGCAAACACGAAATATACTGACAGATCTAATTTATCATACTGTACAAACAAAACCAATTACATGATCGGATGACAACCGAAAAAGACACTCAAAAGATATGTAAAGATAAACAAAGACAATGAAACTTATTCATACAAACAACCTCAAACAGGTTCAACAGAATCAATCAGCTTGGTAAATGTAAAATAATACTGAAAAATCTAACTCTTACTCGAAATAAACGATAAAGTTGTTGTGCAGAATGACAGTTAAAGGTCAGGAATCAACCATACATATCAGGAAATGCAACAGCACTAAAAGTGTTCGGAAAACACTTTGGTTGGTCCACTAAGCCTTAAATATTTAATAAACAATGTCAATCACTAAATTGTTTGGTATCTGTACTACAATTTTTGACGATAAACGTTATATTTCAAAAATGTATTTCCTTGTTTTCTATGTTTGAGAGGCAGAGAGTTACAGGATTATTCTGCATGCTTACATCTAGATTACATTGCGCATCGAATATCGTCGGAGTCAAAACATAAGAGTACATGGACTTGGGCACATACAAGTAGGTTACAGCTTTAATCTGAACAGGTATTACATATGCAGCCTCAAAACACTAATGGCACCAAAGAATAGACAGGTATCATTAATTTTCTACCATAGTACGTTAATATATATCCGTCTACTTCTTAGTGTAATCTCCATATACACATATAAGGAAACGTGCAACCCAAAGCAATCAAATAATTAAATACTGAAAGTACGAAGCCTTCTATGATTAATTACCAAAACTATAATGTGATTGCATGATAAGAAAAAAAGCTTACCAATAGCCATAACTTTGTGCCTAGAATCAGACCAAACACCAGTCTCCGAATCCTTACCAGCAAATGTAGTCACACCAAATTGTGAACACAGTTTGATTCCGGCTTCTTCTAAAGCCCCAACGTACCACCTTAAACCACGACCTTGTAAAGATTTACACCGAAGATTAATTATCGGATAGGCTACGAGTTGTCCTGGGCCATGATACGTAATCAAACCTCCACGATCAGAACTGGAAAACACATTAGATTTGCGGTACGCAACATTTGGGATGGATATTAGGTCAAGAAGATAGTGTCAGTTACAATGGGTTAGTTGATAAAACAAGAAAGATCAGTACACACAATCTCAAAATATCAAATGACTATAAAACTGAGTGATACAATCCTACAGCTTTTTATATGTCTTTTCTGAGGTATATACTTACATTGTCTCAGACAGTCACCTCTAGGACTATTTAGAAGTTGATTCGACACAATAAATAAACATTTTATTTAATTCGGTTTTGTAAACAGTTATAGTCTAGTACTTTCATAGGATTGAAACAAACTTTGGGTGATATTTTATTACATGAACAGCCTTCCGTTTACGTATGTTTCAGTGTTAGGCCAACCTGCCACGCCGAAATATAAATAAAAAGACAAATATCAAGAGGAATCGATATAATTTGGACTTAAAATTGAGAATATGGTTTAAAAAGACAGATTGGTAAGATATGGACGAAGGGGTACTCCAATTCAAGATCAAGAGGAAGACAGGGTGAATCGATGCCCCCCATTGTGAACGATGGGTCATATCACTTATCGTCTCCAATCAGTAATCTCGGTTATCATGCAGATCCCAATAAGATCGTCAAAAACAACCAGCAGGTATCAGACCGAGAGCCGGAAATCATGGACTGATCCTGTGTCTTGGTTCGGCTTCCGAAAGCTTTCTTACAACTTACTACTGCGCCAGTAAACACCACCCATCGAGATAAATAGAGATTAACCAAATGTAACGCGCGTCCCAAACACCTCAGTTAACGAAGATTCACAACCACATCTTAGAAGTCTGATCAGCCCTAATGGATTGGTGGCGGACTAAATCACTGCACGGATTCAAAAAGCTCGTTTGGCTTTTGCCAACTTACGTCACCTATGGCGAAGGCGAGATATCCGTCTAACAATTAAGGGACGAGTATACTGTGCAGCAGTTCGTTCTGTTGGTTTTGATTTACGGCTGTGAAACTTGGTCATTAAGAGCAGAGGATACTCGTAAGCTACTATTATTTGATAACAGATGTCTTAGAAATATTGCTTGCATCTGCTGGGATCACCGGGTAAGTAATAGTGAGGGTAGACACAGGGTATTAGAGAATGATGGTAGTTGTGAATCGTCATCAACTGAGAAAGTTGGGTCACGTGTTACGTATGTCTGAACACCGATTACCATGACGCGCAATGCGGACTAGTATTGGGGATGGTTGAAACAAAGTTAGGGACGGCCAAACTAAAATGTGGCATCAGTCCTTGAAGTCACTAACTTCTAGTCTGAACCATGTTGGTAGATGCAGAATACTTGGTTGGGGTCCGCGTGACCGTCGTAACCAATGGCTGGAAACTCTGGATGACATGGCTCAGAACCAATCACAATGGCGTAGGTGCATACACTCTGTCTTCCCTTAAACTGTGAGACTAAAGTTGCTTTATAACTTTCTTTCTAAGAACTAATTCTTTCTTTCTGTATTATATTTTGATATGAAACCTTTTTTTACCGCCATTGAAGTGTGGTGTTCATCTTTCTGTGCTGTGTGGTAACTTGGACCAATGCATATACGTGCTTGGTCCTACGTTGTGACTGACTCACTACATAAACCGACTTTCCATCACTACCCAGTACCCTATGCCTAACATTAACATTGCTTACTTGGCCATTTGGAAATACGCGGAAAATGCTCCAAAGACAGTTATGGTCAGAAACCTGCAAACCGCGTGTGCATTTTACATTAAAAGATCATAATTTCACACCCATAAAGTAATAAAGTAAATAGTGTGCAATATACACACCCTTTGGTTGGTAGACAAGCATTTCACTTGCGCCAAAAGTGATGTAATTTGACAAAGAACAATTGAGCTTTCTGAATCCATCCCCGAAAAATGACAAAGTAATATAATATGGATTAAATTCGTAAAATAACTCCTCCTGTAGCTCTTCTAGAGTTACTGCCGGTCCCAAGCCCGGGTAAAGGAGGAGGGTTGGGCATGGGGTTAGCGTCCCCATCCCGTAGAAAACTAACTCGCTAAAAAAACGCTTACCAGAAAAAATCATTCAAACCATTTTAACTCTGCACTGGGAGTTAGGTCTTCATTTAGAAGAATTATGACGCTTCATGGTGAAAGCCGAGTTCCTTCGGAAGCCACGAGGCCGATCCCCCTTCTAACAACCAGAGCAAAAAATTTTGTAGGTACATGGAACGTCCGAACAATGTGGGAGACCGAGAAGACCAGTCAAATAGCAACGGAAATGAGGAGATACAATTTGGCAGTACTGGGAATCAGCGAAACCGATTGGACCCAAGCTGGACAGAAAAGGCTAGCTACGGAAGAGATGCTGCTATACTCCGGTCACGAAGAGGAAAATGCTCCACACTCAGGGAGTCGCTCTAATGCCGTCCAAAGTAGTACGAAATGCACTTGTAGGATGGGAATCTCACGGATCCAGAATCATCAAAGCATCATTCAAAATAAAGAAGGAGGGGATCACAATGAATATTATCCAATGTTATGCACCCACCAATTTTTATTTATTTATTTGGACACATGAATATTGGTACAAGAGAGCGCCAATATATATGCGCCACACAGAACAATGAATATTCGAAGAGGAATACAAAGAAAGAAGAAAAAAAAGCTAAGGAGCACAAAAAAAAGAGAGAACAATAACGAAGAGATTGGTGTAAGGTAGTGTGCTAGTAATCAGGGAACGCAAAGGTACAATCGGAAGAAATCTTTCAGGTAAGGGAGACACAACCACTTTTTATGAAGAAAGTAAAAGAAGGTTACAGCAGGATCGCCACTGGCTTCTATTCTGAGCCATATCTGATAACGTCTCTAGCCACTGTGTAGCACCATCTCTCGGACCCCAGCCAGGGAGTCGTGAAGGACCAACACAAGCCAGTCCTTTGCAGCTTTCTTTCATACCACGACACCATGTCATGCACTGACCACCTCTCCGCTTCTTCCAACCAGTCCCAGAGTCGGCAAATAATGCACGACGTGGAATTCTCTGGGATGACATTCGGAGAACATGTCCAAGCCACCGAAGTCGGTGTTTCAAGATGGTGACACCAATTGAATTATCATCTCTGTGCCCGAACACACGATGCCGAACCTCTGCATTACTGACATGGTGTTGCCACTGGATGTCAGCAATCCTTCGGAGACAGCGTTGATCGAACACAGAGAGTCGTCTAACATCCTCAACTCGGAGAGGTCAGGTTTCCCAATCATAGAGCAAAACTGCTCTCACCGACGCGTTGTAGATCCGACCTTTTACAGCCAGACTAACATCACGAAGGCGCCAAAGGTGGCCCAGATTGGCATAAGCCGCTCTGGCTTTCACTATATGTGCATTGATCTCATCACTCACATCCCCACCAGCACTTATGCAGCTACCCAGATACACGAACTTCTCGACTACGTCTATCTGCTCACCATCCAGGGTGAGTACAGGATTGGAATCCTGCCAGTCCTGTAGAAGTACTTTGCACTTCGAAGGTGCAAAGCACATACCATACCTACGGACACTGATTGCCAACTGATTAAGTGCGGATTGCATGCCTTGGGCATTATCGCACAGTAAGACAATATCGTCCGCATACTCAAGGTCGAGAAGTCTTTCTCCAGACAACAGATCCACACCACCATTACTTACATTCATCAGAGCTGTTTCCAGAATGTCATCGATGGCAAAGTTGAAGAGGAATGGTGAGATTGGGCAACCCTGCCTAACCCCACTACTCGAATGGAACAATGGAGAGAGGTGGTTGTATGCCCTCACTCTGCCTGAGGTGTTTGTATATAGGGCTTTTAGGATGTTAATAAACTTCTCAGGCACACCCTTCTTCAATAGACAATCCCAGAGAACAGTCCTGTCCAACGAATCGAAGGCAGCCCTGATGTCAAGAAACACTACGATCGTTGGCCTTTGATAAGAATGGCGATGTCCTAACATTTGGCGGAGGGTGAAGATATGATCAATACATCCTCGACCAGAACGAAACCCAGCCTGCTCCTCGCGAGTCAATCTTTCTCGAGTTTTGAACAACCTACGAAGTATGGAGGAAGCCAATAGCTTGGACGCAATCGGAAGTAGACTTATCCCCCGATAGTTGTTGCAGGAACGACGTGAACCCTTTTTAAAGATAGGGACAACTATCGACTCATTCCATGACGTTGGTACACTCTCTAGTTCCCAAACCTTGGTAAACAACGTCGTCAATTCCTTAGTCAAAAAGTCACCACCATCTTTAAAAAGAGCCGGAGGTAAGTCATCTGGGCCAGGTGATTTGTAACGCTTCAAGAGTTGGAGTTCCTTGCGGACTTCCTCCTCGTTTGGTGGATCAGTCGTCACCGGCCATGGAGGGCAGGACAGTCTGACCGACGTTGCCGGAGCAGCAGGCCAGTTGAACTGCCCTTCGAAAAATTCTGCCCATCGTCCAAGACGTCGATGGATGTTAGTGATTGGCATCCCATCATCCTCGCAGATTGTTTCACTCACACCAGACTTCTTGCTGCCAGTGGCTCGGATGAGCTGGAAGAGCTTCCGGTAGTTACCAGATGCAGCTGCTGCTTCCAGCTCATTAGCACGCTTCGACCACCAGGCTTCTCGGTCCTTACGCAAGCTTTGCCCAATTTCCTTACGTAACTTCCTTCGTTTATGGTCGAACACACGGTCACCCGGAGTAGACCGACGAGCTTCAATGAGTTGTAAGGAACCTGTAGAAACCCAGTGCTTAAAAGCGGGACGTTTCGCAAACCCACAACTGACTGTTCCCGCCATTTTCATGGCGTCATGCAATTGCAACCAATGCTCATCTATACTTTTCGGTGGAGTGGTAGCTAGCCTAGAGGCTAGCTCGGTTCGATACTTATTTGCAACAGAAGTTGCAACCAGCTTGCTAATATCAATCCGTTGATGGCGGTCACTTCGTTGTCCACTGAAAAGTAAGGCAAGATTGGCGCAGACCAAGGCATGGTCAGAGTCCAGATAGGTACTCCAAAAGGAGCGGCAGTCTTTTACACAACCACGCCAGCGGTAGCTGATCGCGATGTGATCAATCTGAGTCCAGGCTTGAGATGCAGAGGGAGGACGCCAGGTGGCACATCGGCGATGACTGTGCCGAAAGTTAGTGCTAGCCAGAAACAGGTTGTGGTCTGTGCAAAGTTGCAGTAGACGGTCCCCGTTATCTGACCTGCGACCAACGAGTCCCCATCGGCCACCTAAACGACTCTCTTCTGTGCCTAGACGCCCGACCTGAGCATTCAAGTCTCCGGCTAGTACTACAATATCTGTCGAACGCACTTTCTGGAGAAGAACTGATAACTGGTGGTAAAACTCATCCTTGATTGCATTCGGGCTGAAATCTGTCGGGACGACATGGACTGGGACAGAGAAACGAAAATGGAGAAAGATTTGCAAATCTATGTGCATTCAACAAATTGGTCATAGGAGGCACAATATTTCCACACAAGCGTATACACAAGGCTACATGGATCTCACCGGACCACACTACAGAGAACCAAATAGATCATATTTGCATCAACAAAAAATTCCGAAGGACAATGGAAGATGTGAGAACCAGGAGAGGAGCTGACGTAGCTTCAGATCACCACCTAGTTGTAGCCAATTTAAAACTGAAGCCAAAAAAGAACTGGACAAGTGGACAAACAGCACTACAAAGGTTCAATACAGCCTTCCTTCGAGATACTGGCAAACTCAATGAATTCAAGATAGCTCTCAACAACAGGTTCCAAGCCTTACAGCATCTACTGAAGGAAGAAGAAACTACTATGGAGGACAACTGGAAAGGCATCAAAGAAGAATTAACTTCGACGTGTCAAGAGGTTCTGGGCCTCAACAATGGATCTCTATAGAAACACTGTACAAGATCAAAGAAGGAAGAAGAACAAAAAGATAGCAATTAACAACAGCCGGACACGAGCAAAGAAATTCCGAGCTCAAGCTGAGTACATAGAAGCAAACAAGCAAGTGAAGAAAAGCATTAGAGCCGACAAGAAGAAATACGTAGAAGAACTAGCAACAATGGCGGAAAAAGCTGCTAGAGAAGGAAATATGAAACAGCTTTACGATACAACGAAGGAACTAGCAAGGAAATATAGTAAACCAGAGAGGCCGGTCAAAGACAAAGAAGGTAGGACATTCACTGGAATTCAACAACAGCGGAACAAATGGATAGAGTACTTCGAGGAACTTCTGAATAGGCCGGCTCCAATGAATCCAGTGCACATCGAAGCAGCACACACAGATCTTCCTATAGATGTCAACCCACCAACGACGGAAGAAATCAGAATGGCCATCAGACAAATCAAGAGCGCGAAAGCAGCAGGACCCGACAATATACCAGCTGAAGCACTGAAGTCAGACATCGAAGTAACTACAAACATGCTATACCTTATATTCAAAAAGATTTGGGAGGAACAAGTGCCGATGGACTGGAAAGAAGGGCACCTCGTCAAGATTCCAAAGAAAGGAGATCTGAGCAAATGTGAAAACTACAGAGGCATTACACTACTGTCAATACCAGGGAAGGTCTTCAACAGAGTGTTGCTGAACCGGATGAAAGATGCAGTAGACGCCCAACTTCGAGATCAACAAGCTGGATTCCGTAAAGATCGATCGTGTACAGACCAAATTGCAACACTACGGATCATCGTCGAACAATGAGTTGAGTGGAACTCGTCACTATACATCAACTTCATTGATTATGAAGAGGTGTTTGACAGTGTGGATAGGAGGACATTATGGAAACTTCTTCGACACTACGGAGTTCCTGAGAAGACTGTCAATATTATCCGGAACTGATACGGCGGACTACAATGCAAAGTCGTGCATGGAGGACAGCTGACAGATGCATTCCAAGTAAAGACCGAAGTCAGCCAAGACTGTCTACTCCCTCCCTTTTCCTTCTGGTGGTCGACTGGATTATGAGGACCTCGACATCTGAAGGAAAACACGGAATACAATGGACAGCTCAAAATCAATTAGACGATTTGGACTTCGCAGATGACCTAGCCCTCCTATTGCATACACACGAACAGATGCAGACAAAGACAGCCAGTGTAGCAGCAGTCTCTGCATCAGTAGGCCTCAGTATACACAAAAGGAAAACCAAGGTCCTCAAATTCAAAGCGGAGAACAGCAATCCAATCACTCTTGATGGCGAAACTCTGGAAGATGTAGAGTCCTTCACATACATAGGAAGCATCATCGATGAACAAGGAGGCTCAGATGCAGACGTAAAGGCCAGGATTGGCAAAGCAAGGGTCACATTCCTACAATTGAAGAACATATGGAACTCAAAACAACTTTCAACCAATATCAAAGTCACAATCTTCAATACGAATGTCAAGGCAGTTCGACTGTACGGAGCTGAAACTTGGAGAACTACTACAACCATTATCTAGAAGGTACAAGCATTCATAAATAGTTGTCTACGCAAGATACTCAACATCCATTGGCCGGATACCATCAGCAACAGCCTTTGGTGGGAGAGAACAAATCAGCTTCCAGCTGAAGAAGAAATTAGGAAAAGACGATGGAAATGGATAGAACATACATTACACAAATCATCAAACTGCATCACGAGACAAGCCCTAACTTGGAATCCTGAAGGGAAGCGGAAAAGAGAAAGGCCTAACAACACATTACGTCGGATAATAGAAGCAGATATGAAAAGGATGAATAGGAACTGGAAGGAGCTGGAAAGGATTGCCCAGGACAGGATTGGATGGAGAATGCTGGTGAGCGGCCTATGCTCCTTCACGAGGAGTAATAGGCGTAAGTAAGTAAAATTCGTAAAATGTAATTTAGCTACCAAAACCCGTGGTTGACAACAGCTACACTTACTGAATCATCATTTCTGACGTTTGGACACAAGTTTTGGAATTTCGGGATTAATTACAATGTTCCTGTCTGAAGTAAGCAAGCGGTCCTAAAGTCCATAAACTGAATCTCTATTCCGTGTTCTCACTCAGTTCCAGCGTCGGTAAATAACGCGCAAAGTGAAAGACACTGGGATAACATTCGCAAAATATACCGAGACCGGCGGTTATGAAGTCAAAAACATGACTACCAGCCCATAATAAGCATGATGAGACCCCAACAGTTGGTGGATGGTAACGTGATCAATACACTCAGGATCAGGAAGGAAACCAAACGATCTCAGATTCCGAAATCTAAAACAGCCCAGTCATTTACCTGACGAGATGTTCGCCACCATCTTCAAATAGAGCTAGGGGTGCTGACTCTATACCTGGTGGCTCATGGCGCTTTGAAACTTGGAAATCCTCAAAGGCCTCTGCTTTGTTAGATGAGTCAGCAGTCACCAGCCAGAAAGTACATGATCGTATGGTCGACATTGCAATGGAAACACATCAATAAAACAAGTCCTCATAAAAATCTGCCCATCGTCTGAGACGCTTTTGTACGTTACCGGATGACGTACCGTCCATTTCAAAGATTCTTTAACTGATACAAAAACCAGTGGCTCAAATGTGTTGAGATAGCTCTCGACACAAGTAACAAGAAGATCCATAATTGTTTTAGGACTACCTTTGGTGAGTAGTATACAGTTTTGATTATGTCAAGAACTGGCAAACAGTCTCGTAAAATTATGAGGTACCTACGCACCCTATGATCAATTTAAAAATGGTAACACTGAGGAAATTATAGAACCGGGGACCAGTGAGCAGCTGTTTAATTCGACTTATACACAACCCCCCAAAAGCCTACCAAATAAATATATGTACAGAATTATTTTGTTATTCTTTATCAGCAATTGAGATTTTGGGTAGACACATGATAATAATCAATCAAAAAACAACATAACTGACCTAACAAATTCAGCCCCAAGACGTTTGAGATGTTTAATGGCATACTCGCCATAGTCATTCATAGGATCTGTGTGGCGTATACCAATAGTGTAAACTGGACAGTGTTCCAGAAGTAAGATACAATGCACCGAAGGATTATCAAGAGACTTCAGTAGTTTGACGATGGACTTCTGAAGATCCCATGCAATGTTATATGGCACGTAACCGAGATAAAAACCCAACACAGAGACTTTCATTATCGATAATTAATGGTGGTATGATCAAAAGTACCTAGAGTACGAAAATGGTTAACACGAATAATGGAGTGTACCAGGAAGCCTTGTTATGTATACATATATAAAAATCTTATCTGTAAAAAAAGTAACGATAAGCAAAATTACTGGGACAAAACACAATATTCAGCGGACATAAATGAGCTGAGCTTTGCACTTAAATCTGCAGTGAAGCATTTACAAATGATCGGAAAGTTCAACTATTGGTTCTTAGTGTCAGTGGGTGTGCACTAAGTTTACGTCTACGGCATCACTCAATCTACCTTCCTACAATATATAACCAAGCCCGGGCTAAGATACAGGATTGCTATAAAATGCAGTAATCTGTGATATGAAGAACCTTTTGGGACTGTTAATCTATTGAGGCCATCTTGGTTAGCTGGACTGTCTGGATACTAAATAAGTCGACAAACAGCTGGCCAAATGACGGATTAAAATATACTGGATAACTTTTGTCGGTACGTTGACTACCTTTACACGTCCTACGTCCAAGCAAATGACATTAACCACCTTGAATGACTAAACAACTAATTTGGAAGTAGCGTCTAGTTATAAAAACAATCAATTTATTTATTTATTTAAACACAAAAATTAGTGCAAGGAGCAACCAAATAAATGTACGCCCCACTTCATCATTCGGTTTGTGTGAAGGCTGTGAGCCGAAACTGAAGCAAGCAGTTTTCTTAGGAGACCACTCTCCGAGCCCATGACCTAGAGGCAGTGGATCAACATCCCTCGCAATCGCTGGCCAGTTTAGATCAGTCGATTCTCAATATATTGATAGCCTATCAAACATATTTTCGAACCTCCTCGCTTCTGTCTTTTGATCTCGCTTGGTGGGTACGATTCATGGTGGAAGTTGTTGCTGATTAAAGCGTTGTCAAACTCCAAGTACTTGTGGCATCTTCATTGGTAAGCCGACTTGATCTGGCACACCAACTTGCAAACTATGCGTCTGTTCCTTTTTGGTATTTCATGTGTCATTTCTTTATTCTAATTCTTATATATTGTGATATCTTTTCGTGTTTTCGGGATATTTTTTCTGGTTTATTCCTGTTTTTCATATTTGCCATGATGGAACAGACACCCAAGGTACTTAAGCTAAAGACTATGTCCCTACTTTCATTCCAACTAATGCCTTTCTGGCCAGACAACAATGAAGCCTGGTTCTGCTACTCAGAAACCGACTTTTACGAGCACGGTGTGGGCGACACACGTGCACAATTCCTCGCAATAGTAAAGGCGCTACCGCGCGAATTTAACAGGTGCGTAACACCAGGTATGTCTACTAGTGACGTTTTGGAACCTTACGAAACTCTTAGACGATCTATCCTTAAACATGGATACCTAACCGATCGACAAAGGTTAAATTAATTCCTTAATAATATCGACCTGCAACACGGTTCTGCGACAAACGTGTTGCTAAGAATGAGAGAAGTGATTGGCCAAAGAACTTTCGACGATGGCTTATTTAGACAACTTTCCTTGTCGAAACTTCCTCAACAGGTACAAGCCGTGCTGGTCTCGTTTCAAAACAACGCCGCAGACGAGCTGGCTGCATCTGCCAATCCCATTTTAGATATCAACAAATCTTCTAACGTCGAGGTTTCTTCAGTCAAAGAAAGGCCTCAAGCGACACAGAATGACATTACGGAACTATATCATACGCTACTCCGTTACCTTTTATTTCGTAATGACCGTAAGCGGTCACAAACCCCGCGAATAAGTGCTTCATGTAGGCAATCTGTCTCTAGATCACGAGAGATAGATTGCCCCGACTAGTGTTGTGTCACAACCAGTGCGGAAAGTCTTCTATGGATTGCAGAAAACCCTGCAATTTTCCGGTCTAAAAACCGACCGACAGGAAAAACATTTCAGGAAACTTCCCAGCCGGCTAAAATAGCCGTCTGTCATACGTCACATATGTGATAACGAAAGTCTGCTACCTCATCGATATTGGCGCAGAAGCTAGCGCCCTCCCAGAAATTTCTAACGATCGGCTTCACGAATCAGTTCTAAACTTACTGGCGGCAAAGGAAATCCAATCACCACATATGTTATTGGGTGAGTTTAGCTTAATGTGGGTTTAGGCAAACCCACTCACTGAATTTTTGTTGTTGCAGATGTTTCTATGTCGATCATTTGTATAGACCTCCTACAAGACCACAATCTTCTAATCGAAACATTAATTTATCTGTTTGCGTTAATTCTTTCACCGGTTGCAGATTATCTCCAGTCACAGTTAAGTACATGATAGATTCATTCCATCATTAGTTACTCGATAAGTACCAACGTAACCAACAGTGTCACACATAACATCACGACTACAGAACCACCTGTATTCTCGAAAGCCTGCCGACGGCCCCCCAAAAAGCTGAGGTTATTTAAAAACGAATTCACCCACATGATAGATTTATTAACCATTCGACTATCAAACAGCCTGTCGAATCACGGTCTGCTATGATATTAGTACTGCTCTAGTAGTAGACAAAATCCTAAAATTGTAGATTCGTCATGATATAACTGCCTAATCTGTAAGATCTTACGTGGAAGTCACATCATCGTCCACACCAACTCATCGCATCATAACAATCACCAATTTATGATGGAGAACAAACTCAGGCTAGAGATAGAACAATATATTTAGTATGAATAAAAGGTATATAACAACATTCAAGGATAGCCATACCATCCGATCAATCCGAATTAATTCAATTTCTTCTTCCCGCCTTCTTCATGGTTCAGTTTTTCTCTGAGTCAAATGCTGAACATCTGTTTCTCCAATTGTCTCGTTTTCAGCTTTGATGATTGTGTACACAGAGCCCAATTTTACTACAAGCCTATGGGTATCTCGTCTCCAAAAAGGACTACAGCGATTGACGTGCAACTGTTGACCATCGGCGATTGAATGCATAAACCATTCTCGATCGCAACCCGTCGCTCCACACTCATGATTAGACAGCTACCTTCAAAGGTACAACTGCCTTTTCGAAAGCCAGTCTGGTGAAAGCCCATAACCGAATTCCTATGACCGATAACGACATCCCTGAAACCGTTATCACAACTCCTATCGGTCTCGACGAATTTTCGCGCACACCCTTTGGCTTAAAAAATGCTGCACAGAAGTCCCAGAGGCTCATCGATGACGATTTTTGAGTTTTCAACGCCATATAAGCGTATGTTAATGACTGCTCGTTTTCAAGGCCGCACAGAGAATCTCGTCTCCAACATCTGGTCTTTGTTTTGGAACGACCACGAAAGCATGGCATTACTGTAGACATCCAGAAATGCCGAATCAAAACTCAATTCCCAGATTTCCTCGGACACACCATTGATGCTCAAGTCATCCGACCTCTGAGAAGCAAAGTAGCCGCCATACTGGATTACCCAGAATCGACCACCATCAAGCAATTACGCATGTTTAGCGGCATGGTAAGTTTCTATAGACGGTTCATGACAAACTGCACGTCCCTTATGAAACCTCTAATTGACCAACTTCGTGGAACTGCGAAACCCATCAATTTGGACGATACCGCGCGTAAAGCATTCTCCACAATTAAGGAACTTATCTCAAAAGCAACAATGCTTGCACATCAGGATACCCAAGCACCGATTAGCATCGCAGTAGATGCATCCGACCCAGCAATAGGAGGAGTCTTACAACAATGGGTTAACAACTCCTGGCAACCTCTGGCATTTTTCTCTAGACGGTTGCTAGACACTGAATGGAGGTACAGCACATTCGGTAGCCAACTCCTAGCTATGTATTGTGCTGTACGGCGTTTTCATCACTATATCGAAGGCTGTGAATTCACTCTTTTTACTGACCATAAGCCTCTTACATTCTCTCTAAGCTCTTCTTCAGACGAGTACTCACCACGTGAGTCTCGACAACTGGACTGCACTTCGCAGTTTGCTTCAGATATTCAACACATTTCTGGAGCAAACAATGTAGTTGCAGACGCCTTGTATCGCACAACTTCCTTGAACGGTTTCCAAGGAATGGACCTTCTGAAACTCGCCCAGATCCAAAAAGAAGACACTGATCTTCAGCACGTTATCGTTTACAACACTCAAGCTATTCATCAAACAGATGGGAACAGGTAAGATAACCTTACTTTGTGACACATCTACAGGCAGGGATCGCCCAATCGTGCCGAAACATTATCGACGCAATGTCTTCAATACGTTGCACAAATTTTTTCATCCAAGTGTTCGTGCAACCATCAAACTCAGAGCAGAACGGTTTTGCTGGCCTGGTATGAATAAAGACGTGAGTGAGTGGGCACGCTCCTGTGTAAGCTGCCAAAAATCCAAGGTTATTAGACACAACAAAAGTCCCTTAGGCTCTTTCAAAACTCCTCATGCTCGTTTCGAACATTTTCATCTGCATTTGGTAGGACCTTTACCAGATTCAAATGGATACTCTTATCTTTTAACCTGAGTAGACCGTTTCACTAGATGGCCAGAGGCAGTACCTATCAAGGACATCACCGCTGAATCAGTGGCCTGCGCTTTGGTCGAACGATGGGTAGCAAACTTCGGCTTCCCCTCAACTATCATTACAGACCGTAGGCGTCAGTTCGAATGTGGACTTATTCATTGTTTGACTACACTAATATAAGTCACACGATCCCGAACGACCGCCTATCACCCACAAGCAAACGGGTCGGTAGAACTCTTTCACCGACGATTAAATGCTTCACTATCGGCTGTATACGATTCACAGTGGGCCGACGCTCTTCCACTCGTCTTACTAGGCATTCGCAAGGCAGCGAAAGCTGATGTTGGATACACTGCAGCTCTGTAAGATCCATTTTGAATGTTTTATGTGTGAGTTAGTCTTCTACGGGAAGGTGTCGCTAACCCATGCACAACCCTCCTCCTTTATTCGGGCTTGGGATCGGCAGTAGCTATCGGAGGGAGTTTTATTGGAATCAAAAATTTGTAGTCAATTGAATAAC